ATTTGTCATCAGGAGCGATGAGTCAAGGAGCACCCCCAGACTGCGAATGTTTTTGAGCATTAAAAATGATTATCACAGGATGGCCCAATTTATACATCAATGTATCAGGAATAAACTCAAATACAATCAAATATCACCTAGTTATTGAAATCCTATGAAGGTGTGACCTAAATCCAAATGCTAGTTTGGAGTATATTGAATCCATATCATATTAGCAATCCCTCAGATATCTGACGGGAGGAAAGCTATCAAACACTTATCAAATATTTTGATAAGTATAACACACTATTTAAGAGCTGGCAACATGGCACGTAAAAAGACATATTGGGCCGTTATTCTTAAAAAATGCCTCTATCAGATATCAAATCAGATATATAGAAAAATAATTGTGTAAAGAAATGTTATTTGGCTGTTATAAGTAAAGGGTGTTATAAGTAAAGGTGCAATTAATAAGATAAGAAATATAGAAAGGATAAATTTTAAGGGGTGAAATATGTGTACTTACTTTCGAAGAACTAAGGAGAAGTGTATAGAAATGTGTATAAGTATTAGATGAATATTTGTTATAAACAAGTTATATTTTATGTATATTTATAAACTAATAAAAATATTTTTAAAAAGAAAAAATTGCCTCTATTGTCCCAAAGCCCCTCAAATTATCCACCAGATCAAGAGTCCTAAGCAAATCAGCAATTTGCATAGCCATAATGCTCATGTCTCATGAGCAATGTGTGCATGAACTGAAATAAGCAGTTCCAAGAGATCTTCCAAATCTAAATGAGGAAATTCTTTTCAATATAGCTGTCAACAATCCATTAATCTGCCAATTTCTTCCCATGAGTCTTTCCTGGAAAGCTAGTGACATTAATAATATTCTGTGCTCATTCTGTGCAAGCAACACAGAATGACCCACCCATTTTCCCCATTCTAAAACTGTGATAATCTACATGTTTTTCTTCTTAACCCTACTTTCTAATTCTCAAATGTATATACGGTAGGTGCAACTACAGTATCACCAACATTTTAAAAATCTATACACTGAAGTCATTTATTATTTTTTTTATTGATTTTATACTCTGCCTTTCTCCCAAAATGGGATTCAAGATGGCTTACAATGATTTAAGAAAGATGAAGCTAAAACATTAGTGTACAAAGGTCAAAGAAGAATTAAACAACAGTATTACTGGAAAAATTATGAAAACAGTTTAAACACTTACAACATAATTTCCAATAAAAGATTTAAAATACAGCACATCACTTTACACACAGGCTACTGCTCCGTGATTAAAATTTGAAGGACTGTCTGAATAAAAACATCTTCATTTGTCAGCATAAAGAGAGTAGGGATAGGACCAAGTAGACCTCCCAAGGAAGGGAGTTCCACAGTCTGGAAACAACCACAACGAAGGCTCTTTCCTGAGTCCTCACCAAACATGCCTGTGAAGGTGGTGAGACAGAGAGAAAACCCTCTGCTGCAGATCTTAAAGATCATGCTGACTTATGTAAGGAGACACAGGTCTTTCGGATAGGGGGGGTTGCAGCCAGCCAGAAATAGTGCAAATTGAGTCCACTTTTAGGGTTAGGGAATCATAGGAACTGTATTTTATTGTGGCACCGGAGCTCTCTGATAGAGAAGGCTCAATGTCTCAGAAAAAACCCAATTCCTATGATTCCCTAGCACTAACCCTAACTCTACAAGTGGACTCAATTTGCACTATTTCTGGCAGTCTGAAACCCCCCATAGTCTGGACCCAAACCATGCAGGGCTTTAAAGTTCAAAACTAGCACTTTGAATTCTGCCTGGAAATGGACCAGTGGTCAGTGGAGCTGTTCAATAAGAGAGTCTCATGATCCCTGTAACCAGCCCCAGCAGCATTTTAGACACACTGAACTTTCTGAACAGTTTCCAAAGGCAGCATGACATAGAGCATGCTACAGTAGTCCAAACAGGATGTATTCAAAGCCTGTGACACTGCAGTGCACACATTTTAACTATTGAAATGCACTCCTGATCGCAGCTGAAATCTGGGCATCCAGGCTCAGAACCAAGTCCACACCTAGGCTGCAAACCTGAAGTGTCAGGGGAGGTGTAAATCCATCCAGCACAGGCTAAATCCCTATTCCCTGATCTGCCTCCTGTTACCCAAAGAGCAGGTGGGGGACTGTTGGGGGGTCCTGCCCAGCTGTCAGTATTATTTCAAATGTTGGGGTAATGACCTTTTTCAAGAAGCTTGACAACCTTTGGGCCATGTGCACCAGTTTATACCAGTACTAAATGAGGAGGATTCCAGGTCTCTTGAGTGAGTTAAGGTTTTCTTTAGAAAAATGCAGAGTGCAATCACACACACACACACACACAAGATAACAATTCAAACAGCTAACCAAAATGGAAATATGGAAATGGAATAGAGGAGTTAAAAGGAGTTTGCAATGTCCAATGAGAAGACCACAGAAAGCTGGAGTGTCTCATTAGGAAGAATTTCCTGATGTGAAGAGCTGTTTGACAGTGAAACATACCGCTTTTG